GTATAGGGTGAATGTAAATACTGTGTCTTGGGTGAGGCACATCTTAATCCAAGTGACACTTTAAAGAAGTCCTTGGCAGCACAGTTGCTCAGTGCGATATGTCATTTGATTTCATGGTTGTTGCTCCCATGCCTATTGTTTGTGGATCCAAGTAAAATGAAATTCTTGACAGCCTTGATCTTTTCTCCATTTATCATGATGTTTATTGATCCAATTAGGGGGATTTTTGTTTTCTTTATGTTTAGATATAATCCATACTGAAATCTATAGCCGTTCACCCTCAGTTCTCCTTTGTTTCTTAGTAAGCAGGGGTGTGCCATCTGCACAGCTCAGGTTGTTGAGTCTTCTTTCAGCACTAATGCCACGTTCTTGTTTGTGTAGCATTATCTGCTCAGCAGACCGACTGACCGTGTGTAGTTAAGGGTCCAACCCTATCTCACACTCTTACTCATTTTAAACCATGTCATATCCCTTGTTCTAGTCAAATGACTGCAGTTTATTCTGTGAAGGTTCTGCTTGAACTCAATTAAATATCCTGAAATCCCATTCTTTACAATGATATCCACATGCCTATGCATGATCAAAACAATATGGATAAATATGTTTCCGACATTCTCTGCATTTAGCCAATAACCCTCTGGTGTCAACAGTGATAGCCTTTGCTCCATTTCCTCTTCTGAATCAAGCTTAAATACCTGGAATTTCCTGCATCAGTAATTTTTAACTGATCTTCAGCAAGATTTTACTTGAATGAGATAGTAATGCTATTGTTTATTTCTCCATTCTGTTACATCATCATTCTTTGGAATTGTCATACATATCAGTCTGTTCAAGTCATTTGGCTAAGTACCTGTCTTCAAAACTTTTGGTAGAGAGAAATAAGCATGTCCAGAAAGATTTTGAACTATACTCTGTCTCCTGCCACCATACGTTATCATTTGCTGGGTGCATCAGTAGTAGGGTAGTATTTTCATCAGTACTAGATCATAAGATTCTTGAGCACATATTGCCTCTTAGAATGGCTGATAAGCAATCATTATTTTTCCTTGATTACTCAAAAAACTCAAACTCATGGCCACTGAGCCAGAGCTGACTCATGGCTGTCCCTCAAGTGGGTTTTACAGAGGCTGTAGATTGCACAAGAAGAGACTGGCTGTCTTTCTCCTGCAGAGCTGCTGGTGGCTTTGAACCACTGGAGAATCTCAGCCTTTGGGTTGGTCCTGCATCTTCCTATGGATTATGCCACCAGCCTCCCTTAAAGCACATTTGCTGTTGTTGTCGTGCACCATGGAGTACGAACTGACTGATAACTGACCCTCAAGCAGGTCTTCATAGACTGCAAAGGGGAGTGAGTGCAGGGGGAGACTGCTCATCTGTCTTCTGCAGGGAAGCAGCTGGTGGGTTAAAACTACCTGTTTATTGGGTTGACAGCATAACTCCTTATTGACTAGGCCACTAAAGCTCCCTTGAAGCATGTTAGAAGGTTCAAAAAGAGAATTGGTGTTGAATTTTAGCCTGATAAGTGCACATGTAAACTTAGAAAATGCTTTTCTGTTATTTTAAGTAATGGCAGGGATGCTTTTATTAAAAAATAAGCTCTGGCAGAAACATTGTACACAAATTTTATAGACAGTTATTTTGAGTGTGTCATACCCTCCATTCCTGCCCCTGCCCGCTCCCCTCCCCCATTTACTGTGACAGCAGCTGGGCAATTCCACTTTTGCACGTCATCTAACAAATGTACATATATGCAAAAAACACGTATGGGCATATAAGATCACTCCCAGAGCACTGTTTTCCATTCTGAGTCACAGGAGACTGATTAAACAAGTACAGGGAAGAATTAGAAAAGAAGGAAAGTAATTTTGTGTTCATATGAGAGACAAGGACTTGAGTTAGAAAGGAAAAAACAAGCAACACCAGTGTGGATAATCTTCTTTGTTGTGTGAAGAAATCGAAGGCCAGGCATATTGGATTTTGTTTGGAAGCCGGAGTGGCAACCACTTCTTAAATAACATGCCTCCAGAAACTATATAAACGTTGATAAATGTCAATAGTTGTAGAGGGGCTTCAGGCATTTTCTTGGGATCGCTATGAGTCATGCTCAACTCTAAGGCAATCAACAGCAACAATTAAATAAAGTTAAGAAATGTAAAAAGTTCCTGTAGTCACGTCTATCTATGGGGATTCCGTGCGTTGCAGGCTAGAATTGTGTTCCACAAGGCGGTGGGCTTTGTGGGGCATGTCAGCAGCCAGGCCATTCTTCTTTCCCAGGTGCCTCTGTTACTGTTATTAGGTGCTGTGGAGTTAGCTTCGACTCACAGCGACCCTGTGTTCACTGACACCTCATTCGGTGCCAGGTCACAGTGGCTGCTCTCCTTGAGCATGTTGTTATGGTCACCACACTGGTCTGTCTGGAATTCTCTCTCTGTTCCACCCCCACCCCCCACCCCCTTTACCCTCTCCTTTACAAACCACGATGTCTTTTTCCAGGGTCTCACCTCCTTGATAACATGCCCAAGGTAAGTGAGCTACCAAAGGGGGTTCAGACCTTTAATTCATTGCTTTGTTCTCACTTAACCAGTGCCACCCAGAACTCATTGAGGAACGATTATTATTGTCAGTCGTTGAGTAGGTTTTTGACTTATGGCAACTTTATGTGTGTCAGAATAGAACTGCTCTCAGAAGGATATAAAGGAAGAAAACAGAGGTTACCTGTAGAGGATTAAGTATGGGGATTAGGTTAGAAATAGGTAGAAAGGCAAACCTCTTTTGTCATTCTTCCCTACACCCATTTTAGAGCCATATGAATTATTTTGTTGTTGTTGTTGATTGCCGTCAAGTTGAGCATGGCTCATGGTGGCCCTGGAAACAAAAGACCTGAAGCCTTTCTATAACTATTGTTGTTTTTCATAGTTTATAGAGTTTCCAGAGATGCTATTTAGGAAAAGGACAGCAAGTATACTATCATATTCTGGCTAATTAAAAAAGTAAGATGCCACCACAACAAGATAAAGGTAAATAATCCAATAGAAAAATGGGCACAGGATATGAACAGACACTTCACCGAAGAAAATATTCAGATGGCTAACAAGCACATGAAGAAATGTTCAAAAATCCCTAGCTTTAAGAGAGATGCAGATTAAAACTACTATAAGATACCATCTCACCCTAGTCAGAATAGCAAAATTTAATAGAACAGCAAGCAACAAATGCTGGAAAGGTTGTGGAGAAACTGGAACCCTTATTCACTGTTGGTGGGAGTGTAAAAGGGTTAACCACTTTGGAAGGCGGTATGGCGCTTTCTCAAAAAGTTGCACATAGAGATACCATTTGACCCAGCAATTCTACTACTGGGAATATACCCAAAAGAGACCATAACTGACATCCAAGCAGATATATGCACACCCATGTTTATCGTGGCTTTGTTCACAATAGCAAGGAGTTGGAAACAATCTAAGTGCCCATCAACAAAGGAATGGATAGAGAAGCTGTGGTATAGTCACACAATGGAATACTATGCTGCATTGAAAAACAAGGAACTCATGCAATATTATTCAAAATGGGTGACTCTGGAGGACATTATGCTGAGTGAAGTATCTCAGTCACAAAAGGACAGATATTGCTTGGTGCCACTGCTATAAAACAGGACTGACCTTGGGGTTGGGGAGAGACTGAGAAAGATGGGTTCAATCATGTATACTGCATTGAAACAGCTGATGGAGAAAACTGTTTAAAAGGGATATGTGATTAGGTATTTTTGTCATGACAGGAGTCTAGAGCAAAGGCTACATGGTGGAGTGGACGTAAAACAATGAAAGAATTTTTCTTTTACTTTTCCAAGATGGTAGTGTACTAGCGGGGAGGGTTGGGAGGAGAGAAAAGTGCAACAATAAATGAATGGAAATCCAAAGTCTCTGTAAATTTTTACTGAAATTAATAATAAATTTAAATTTAAAAAAGGAAACAAAACAAAAAAGTAAGATGCAATATCTTTCTTTCAGCCAGGTACAGAATAGAATGTACAGTATGTTAGCTTTTGTTGAGAAAGTGGGAAATACTAGCAAGTCTATTCATTTTGTCTGTATAAGTATAAAGATCCTATGAAAAGGTCCCAGGCCCTCTTCAGGAATGGCAGATTTGCTGCTCCATGTGCTGGCAGTGCTATTGGCAACTGACCTCAGCTCATAGTCCCTTTCAGGATAGATTGTCCCATTTGAAGAGAGCTGCGTCACCTAAGATCAGGCTGGTTCCTAGGGTAACCTGCAATCTGTGAAAGAGCACGGAGGAAGTTTGAGGATTCCACACCCAAAGCCCAACTCAGTATAACTCAGATGGATCATCCAGCTTGAGAAATTTCCTTTTTAAATATCGTCCCATGATGTCACTTCTCTTTAACTGCTCTCGTCAGCATTTTCTTTTCGTTTTAACCGTTGCAGACCCTAAACCCAGCTACATTCGGATCAGCTTTGACTGTTGGTGATCCCATGTGTGTCACCAAGAACTGTATTTTTTAGAGAGTCAGGGACTGGTTTAGGGTTTGGGGTTTGTTTTTTTCCCCAGAAATACATTACTAAGCCTTTATTTTGTGACAACCCTGGGTGGACTTGAACCACCAACTTTTCAGTTAGTTGCAGAATGCATTAACTATTTGCACCACCCTTGGAGTCTGTGGATCCCCCAGAACACTCTTGGCGAGCTCCTTTGTCTTAAGCAGTCTGATTGGGGAAGAACCCAGTGAGTGACACTGACCTGTGAGCAGGGGCTTCCTCAGATTGACTGGGCATGGGAATCTAGTGAATGGGGCAAGATAGAGGAGGTGAAAGTGCTTTGAATCATGTAAATAAGTAAAAATGAAAAAGCTGATTTGCTGCCTCAGGGTTAACTTATGACTTTCCATATATTTTCCCAGAACCATTTTGTTTTCATTTAGGAGGACACGTCTAACCAGAACTGCGTGCTCCACCACATCTAACTGTGCTTTTCTTCTCTTTTTGTTTAGGATCTGAAAAGAGACATCTCTGGGGCTTTGTCTGACAATGGAAATGAAGAAGTCACCTGATGGTGGATGGGGTTGGGTCATTGTGTTTGTCTCCTTCTTCACTCAGTTTTTGTGTTACGGATCCCCTCTGGCAGTTGGAGTCTTGTACATAGAATGGTTGGATGCCTTTGGTGAAGGGAAAGGAAAAACAGCTTGGGTTGGATCCCTTGCGAGTGGAGTTGGCTTACTTGCAAGTAAGTGAATACTTTGATGCCTTTCCTTATTAAGTGATCACTTCATTACATTTGCTGTATTCCTAACACTTCAAGGTACATGAGGTTATTTTTATTAAGCACAAAACATACTTCTTGCGTCCATTAAGATTCAAGCACCACTCTTTCACTGTAATAAATCTGTATAAAACTATATGCATTTCATAAGCTATTCAGTCATTAATTCATCTGCTCCTGTGTGTTCCAGACAGTGTGCTAGCTGTCGGAAGTGAAATGATGAACAGTAATAACATGGTTACTATCCTCAACCTGGTGGGAAACACACGAACTTTTATGAGTCAAAATGCTAGTACAAGGAGGTGAAGGAAACAGTACAATGATGGGCAGAGGACTGTGTGATGCTCAATATATTGTCTTGTAAGAAGTTTTCTTAGGCTTCATGATTAGTTTCTCTGGTTCAGAGACAAGCCACGGTCAATTGCATGTCTTACATTGATAACAATAACATACGGAAAATTTGCTCTCATAGCAGAGAGCAAGGCGGTCTCAAAACAATGATGCCATTTAAGTATTTTAGTATAGTGTTTTGTAAAAGATACAGGTGATACATTCTGTGTGGTTGTTATATAATGCATATCATGTGTCTAAAAGTAATGTTTTTGTAAGTAATTACTATGAAGGTCTATCATCTCTATAGTGAGAACATTGTTCTTGCTATGTGCATCAAGTTGATTCCAACTCATACAGACCTTTTAGGATGTCCTTGTACTGTTTCTAAGGCCATCATCTTTATGGAAACAGGTTGTCACATTGTTATCTCAGGGAGGAGCTGATGGGTTTGAACCACTGACTCTTTGGCTGGCAGCCAAGAATTAAATCCATGAACTATCAGGAAAACGTTGTTCTTATGTACCACTGAGTCAGAATCAACTCATAGCTGACCCTCTGGTGGGAGGAAATTGTCCATCTTTCACCTGCAGAGCAGCTGATGCATTTGAACCATGTGCCTTTGGATTAGCAGGACAACTCCTTACCACTAAGCCACCAGGGTTACCTTGTTGTTGTTGTGACTAACGTGCACCTGATACAGGCCATTGTCTTTGCAATCACTTGTTATGCATCAGAGAGCTGGACAATGACTAGGGAGGATAGAAGGAGAATTGATGCCTTTGAGCTGTGGTGCTGGAGAAGAGTATTGAAAGTACCATGGACTGCCAAGAAAACAGATTCATCCTGGAGAGGGTTAAACCAGGCTACTCCTTGGAGGCAAGGATTCTGGGGCTTCATCTGACATACTTTGAACATGTGTTGTAAGGAGAGACAGGTCCTTGGAGAGGGACATCATGCTTGGGAGCGTGGAGGGACAGCACAGGAGGGGAAGACCCTCTATGAGGTGGATTGATTCAGTGACTGGGGTGATCGGGATGGGTGTGTCGGAGGCAGTGCTATTGGCGCAGGACAGAGCAGGGTTTAGGGCTGTTGTACATAGGGTTGCTGTGAGTCGTGAACGACATTTATTGTTGCTATTGTTGTTTATTGCCGTCGAGTTGAGCATGGCTCATAGCGATCCTATGAAGAAAAGGCCTGAAGACTTTCTATTATGATCGTCATTTCTCCAAGTTCATAGTGTTTTCAGAGGCATGTGATTTAGGAAGTGGATTCCACTCCTGCTTCTAAACCTGTCTTAAACTGGGGATCCACCAAACACTGTCCACCATGAGCAGCCATTATGACATTTGCTCCCCCCAATGGAACAAGGTTCAGCATTACAGCAAACCCAGATTACCTCAGTGCAGCAGATTGACAGAGGACCACTGTACAACTTTGAAGAATATTCCTCCAAAATAAAATAACACTAGACCCTTGGGCCCAACAGACTTTTAAGTTCAGAAATATTAGAAGATTTTTTTTTCATTTTTATGATTAAAATCATATGCCACTTCAGCTTCTGAAGCCATGGATTGGACTGTATATAGTAACATTTAGTGACCATTATCCTAACTTCCAAGTATAGGTTTCGTATTAGCACAATTAAATATTCTGGGATTCCCATTCTTCTCAGAGTCAGCCACAGTTTGTTATGATCCACACAGTCAAATGCCTTTGCATAATCAATGAAACACAGGTAGACATT